CGCGGCGCGTCGGGCGTCTGCATCCCTTTCTGCACGGCGCCGATGCCGCGTTGGGCAGCGGGAGCCAGGCTTTCCCCTGTGGGTTCCCGACACGCTTTCGGGTTGCCTCGGTAAAAGCCCCGCTTGCTGAGAAGCCTTGGTGGTTTGCTGCAATGCCAGAACGGTTTCTCTCCAGCCTGGGCTTTGCCTTGGGGTTTTTGTGCACATCCATAAATATCTGCTGTTCCCTGAAAGTGCCCGGACAAGGAGAATGGGAACGGGGCTTTTTTTTCCCCGTGGGAATGCTGAGAGTGAATGAAAATCACTAAACCCAGACTGTCGCAGCAAAGGGGCGGCGGCGTCTGTCTGCTGTGAGCGTCCCTCGGATAAAAAAAGGGCACCGTTGTCCGCGGGATGGGGTTGCCCCATGTGATGGGGAGGGGAGTGGACACCTCCCGTTTCGGCAGCGTTTTCCCGCGGAGAGGCTCTTCCCAGAGCTGGGGGAAGCTGCGGGCCCAGCGCAGAGCTGGTCTTAGTTCCCCATCGCTCTCCAGCCGTTGCATTTGCATGGGAGCGGGGCACGGGGGACTCGCTGGGCTGCGGCGTCTGGCTGCCGGGGTCTGGCTCGGTGCATCTGCTCTCGCCTCTGTTAAGCAGAGAGAAAAGAAACCGGCCTGCGGTCCTTGGGCAAGAGCAGGAGGGCTGAGGGCATGTTTCGGGGCCCTCCCTTACGTGGAGGGAGGCCTGTCTGAAGAGGGAGGGTGCTCGCAGCCAGGCCGTTTGCAATAAGGCAGTGCTGGACGCGGAGGTTACTCTGCCGTCGGTGTGGTTCGGCCAGACCACTTCCCGAGCACCCGCTGAAACTCGCCGCCCTGGGGCGAGATGGGGCCGGGCTGCAGCCCGAGGCAACTGGGGAAACTGAGGCACGGTAGCTGCTTTGGAACTGCAGCCCTTGCCTACCAGGGTGTGGAACGTGGCTTTTTGGAAGACCAGAGCAGCTGTTTTAAAGTGATGTTACCAGGTTGCAATGAACCTGGGGCAAAAAACTCATCTGGGCTGTGTTAGTATCATTCTTTGCAGACAAAGTTGCAAGTGAAGGGATGGGATCGGTCTAAAATGGGAGCAAGCCAAGAGCGCGCGCGATACCCTTGCTAGCATCTCCTAGCCTCTTGTAAGACCCAGTGAAACACCAAGCCGTTAGTCCCGCAAGGGCATTTTAGCCAGGGCAGATACTTGCTAATCCCTTGGGGAGCCTGCGGCAATCCTAAGCAAGCTGTGACTTTGGTAGCCGAGTGTGTCCGAGTGTCCCTGTCCGTGGGTATGCCAGATTATACGTGGCAAAGCCAAACGCCACGTAGCTGCCGAGCTCGGCGGCTGAGGGCAGAGGCGCTGGGGCCCCGCGAGGTCCACGGCGAGGTGCCTCCGGCGGCATCAGTGTGCCTAGCCGGGTGGGAGAGCAGCAAACAGCCGCGTTACTGAGGGTTGTGCCAGCCCTATCCCACAGTTGAACAACCAAAGAAATTTCTTGAAAGCAAGCTGAAAAGGGAGTTTTGAGGCAGGAGGCAGGGAAGGTGAGTTGGCTCTCGGCGCGGGCACCCAAAGCGCGCCGAGGTGGATGGGGGCTGACACGGCGGTGCCGTGTGCTTGCAGAAGTGGGCCCGGCCATCCTCACCACGGATCCCCAGCACTTCCAGCAGCGCCTCCAGGAGCTCTACGTCCAGGTAAGCTGCTTCGGCCCGTGGCAGCGTGCCAGACGTCAGGGTGGCCGATTGCTTGGCACGTTGCCCTTAACCCGTGGTGGGAAGCCCAGCCCTGGTGACCCACACGCTAAGGAAAGCTGGTGAGGCATTGGTCCTGGGGTGTCACGGTGGAGCAGTTTCTCTTCTGCAAGTCGGGCATCCTGCAGCTGTCTGGGCTGAGTTGGGCTTGCCAGTAGTTGGCTGCGCTGGGGCAGGAGCGGAGCAGCGCAGGTAACCGGCCCCAGCGCTGCGCTGTGCCGGAGGCGCTGTCCCCGCGGCAAGGAAGAGCCCTCTCGTTTTGTAATTCTTCTCCCAAAGCACAAACGCTTTCCCCAGGAACAGTTGGCACAAACCCTCCATGGAGCCTCATAACTTCTCCTCTAGAAAAGCTGTTTAAGGATTGGTTTTGAAGCATGCTGATGTGCACTGCGCCCTGCCAGCTGAAACACTCTTGGGGGATTTAATCATGTTGCATTTGTCTCTGTTTCTGCCCTGCCTCCCGTGCGCTGTTAAATCCCCCATCCTGTTTCCCTTCAGACGTGGCCTCGTTTTAGCGGGTTGCGTTTGTGTGCTGGCTCCAAGAGCAGGAGGTGTAAAGCCATGGCTGCAAATCATTTCACAGCCCTTCGGGGTGTGAAGCCCAGTGGAGAGGAGAGCTGCTCCTGGCTGTCATCTCTTGCAGCTGGCTGCCTGGGGCAGCTGGGTTACTGCCCAGTTGCCCTTACGGTGATGGGCTGCAGTCACACAAGCATGTTCGCTGAAGGTGACCATGGGAAGCCAGTGGTGCCGCGAGTCCTAATGCATGGTTTAATGAGCCATCACTTAGGATGGAGGAACGGCTCTGCTGTGATCCCGAGTGTCCCTGTGGCATGATCGCACTGCCCTGGTCATGCTCAGCAAACCTCTGCAGCTCCTCTGTACAATCAGCTGCGGGGCAGGATCCCGCTGAGCGTGGCAGGGGTCGCTGGGGCTTGGTTTTGGGCCCCGCTCAGCCTGTGTCCCCCACCGAGCGCTGTGTGCTGCAGGGTGGAGGGGATTGCCCAGAGATGAGTGTTGGGGCCATCAGGCTGGCTGTGGAGGTCTCGTACCCTGGGTCCTTCATCTACGTCTTCTCGGATGCCCGGGCCAAGGACTATGAGCAGCAGGAGGAGCTGCTGCAGCTCCTGCAGCACAAGCAGTCCCAGGTGAGCCCAGGGTGCTGCCCACGGGGCAGGCACTCTCCCCCCGCTGGCGGGATGTGCCCGGGTGCTCATGCAAGAGCCAGCTTATGTTGATCTTGTAGCTGCACGAAGAGCATTTAGCATCTCCCTGGCTGGGCCGTGGCCTGAGCTGGTTCAATGCACCCAGAGTTGGTGGCTGCTGTTAGAAATGCCACCCTGCCCCCTGTGATGGTGGGTGCTGGGTCCATCCGGCTCCCTGTGATGGACAAGTCTCCATGGCTGTACATGACGCTGCAGGACCCGTCCCTTTGGCAGGTGGTGTTTGTGCTGACGGGGGACTGTGGGGACAGGAGCCACCCCGGGTACCGAGTGTATGAGCGGATTGCAGCCATCAGCTCTGGGCAGATCTTCCACCTGGACAAGCAACAGGTGAAGGAGGTGAGTGCAGGAGACTTGTGGGAGGAGGGACAGGTGTCCCAGCTGGCTTGGGTGCCAACGGGCCTGTCTTGCAGTTGGTGCTGATGGGGAGGGATAGCAGAGTGGCAGCACACTTGGATGCGAAAGGGCTCGGAGCAGCTTGGAGATGCAGCAGGGCGATTCAGATGCAGCCTGGGAGCACCAGGCACTCAGGGAAAGGATTGATTGAGTTTATGCTGTTTCAAAGGTCCTAGAGCGTATATTCTAGTGGAGATATTCTCCACTTTTGGAGATAGAATATCTGAGGAACTTGTGGTCTGACCCAGCTTGGCTGTTCCTGTGTCCTTCTGTTAATCCTCATGGCCAAGGGACCTCCAGATTGCTTTGGGAGCCTCTAAACTCCTGTTCTGGTCTGAAACCAAAGTAGGGGTTAGGGAAGACTGATCTCTCTGGAGCGTGTTCCTGGCTGCCAGGCTGCTTTCATGATCTTTGAGATGAACTGGCTTGTCTGCCCCGTGGCTTTCCCCTCTGTGAAAGGGAGGTGTCCACCCTGGGGAGGAAAGATTGAGAGTGCCGAAGCTGGAGAGCTTGCTTCAGTCTTAACTCCAGGAACAGAGCTGGCACTCTGAAAGCAGGGAAAGGAGCTTCCCCGCTGGTTCTTGTCCTTGAAAATCTTGACCAATGCTTGTGAAGTGCTTGGAGAGCTTGGAGAAGAGCAAAGTGCTTTTCTTCTCATCACGGAACAGCCACTGTGAGCAGAGTCCCCAGTGAGCTCTGCCAGGCTCCCACCCCTTCCCAGCCTCTGGCGGCTGCGTGTTTTAGTGGTTTGTATTCCCACGGGCAAACTACAGGGTAATAATGTATCCGCTCTGAGCGACTGAGCGGGAGCCATCTGGCAATAACAATTACACCAAGTTATTCAATTCCTTTTGAATCGGGAAGCGTGTGTGCTTGTCTCTGCTTGCAGTGAGGCAGGCTCGGTCCAGGCTGCCATCTCCTGCCCTTTCACCCCTACTCCACCCTCGCACTGGCACCTGCCAGCCATAGCGCCTCGGCAGTGGCTTTTGGGGCGGGTTCTCTTCCCCCCCG